CACGGAGAGTGGGAGCAAAATGGACAAACAAACACATTGCCCCTGATGAAAAGATTGAAACTTTTGAGCTTGACTATGATGGGAAGCGAGATAGATGGAATGGTTATGATGCATCAACTTATGCTCGAGTCATTGAAAGGTATGAAGCTAGAGACGAAGCTCGAAAGAAGTACCTGAAAGAACAACAGCTGAAGAAATTGGAGAAGAGCAACCAAAATGGTGAGGATGCTGCTGCAAGTGATGAGGATGAAGAAGAAGAAGAAGATGATGATCTAAGGGTAGATGAAGCAAAGGTTGATGAGAGCAAACAAATGGACTTTGCAAAGGTTGAGAAACGTGTCCGTACAACAGGTGGTGGGAGTACTGGAACTGTTAGGTAGTTTTCATGTTTCCATTATTTAAATAATGCAAGGCCTAGTTAATTGGTCCCATACTTAATATTATCTCTTTCATTATTTATCTTAGATGAATTGAAGCTGAAATAATTTATCCTTCAGGAATCTACGTATTCGAGAGGATACTGCAAAGTATCTTCTTAATCTTGATTGCAATTCTGCGCACTATGATCCCAAGACTAGATCCATGCGTGAAGACCCACTTCCAGATGCAGATCCAAATGAAAAGTTTTATGGGGTAACTTGCATCTAGAATGAAAATTCATATGAAAAACTTATTTGTTTTTACTGCTGTATTTAATCTTGTATTTGGGTTAAATCTGTTTTTTGTATTTGTAGGGTGATAATCAATATAGAAATAGTGGGCAAGCTTTAGAATTCAAGGAATTAAATATCCATGCTTGGGAAGCATTTGATAAGGGACAAGATGTTCACATGCAAGCAGCTCCATCCCAAGCTGAATTACTTTATAAGAGTTTCAAGGTCCGGAAGGAAAAATTGAAGTACCAAACCAAGGAAACCATTATTGAGAAATATGGCAATGCAGCCGATGAGGACAAACTTCCAAGAGAACTTTTGCTGGGTCAAAGTGAAAGGCAAGTTGAGTATGATCGTGCTGGTAGAATTATTAAGGGCCAGGTAAGAATATGCATTCTAAGTCTTTACAGTTAAGCATGTGCAACTTGCATATAAATCTTAAATATATTTCTTGGTAGGGTAGTGGAATTCTTACTTGATCTATTAACATGTTAAGGTTTCACCATGAGTTTTAGTTTCAACATTTAAGAATTTTGCTTTATGGCTATTGCTATTGTTTAAAATGATAGATTTATTTATTTATCTGCTATTTCCAATAGGAAGTAGCACTCCCCAGGAGCAAATATGAAGAAGATGTTTACATTAACAATCACACGACTGTTTGGGGCTCTTGGTGGAAGGATCACCAATGGGGATATAAGTGCTGCAAGCAGACAATACGAAATAGCTATTGCACAGGTGCTGCTGGTATTGAGGCTGCTGAGGCTGCAAGTGATCTTATGAAAGCTAATATTGCCCGTAAGGAGGCTGCTACAGGTTTGTACACTAACATGCACTACACCAACGCTGTGCCCCTACTTCCTTCTCTTTCCATTGTTATTACTTTCTTTTTTTACAATTTTTCTTAATTGTATTTGGTATGTCTATTAATCTCTAAATCTTTTTATGAACCTAAACAGAGGATCCTGCACCTGTGGAGGAGAAAAGGCTTGCTACATGGGGTACTGATGTCCCAGATGATCTAGTTTTGGATGAAAAATTGCTTGCTGATGCACTCAAGAAGGTAAATATCGATCTATAATGCACATATTTATGATATTTGTTTGTTAGTGTCATTTTTTGCCTTATTATGCATCCTGCGGAATTAATTATATTTTTGTGCCAATGCCTTATTTTGACCTCAATTACCCAGGTCAGGACACCATTCATTTAAGCTAAATATTCCATGTAATTTCTTGAAACAAAGATGGCATGATCTGGCTTTACATTATGGATGCTCTTTCCTAGTATAAAACAATTTTTTTACCGAAGCATTCAATCTTTCGAGATGTAATTATTCAGACATTTATTCATATTTTGTGCTGATTGTTGAGTTTTGGTGCACTTTCACAGGAGGATCTAAGAAAGAGAGAAGAAAAAGATGAGAGGAAACGCAAATATAATGTTAGATGGAATGATGAGGTATGATTTTTGTTGTCACTGGTTGAGAATTTCATGGTATGCATGCCCTTCACAGATTTTAAAATCATTTCAATTTTGCAGGTTACTGCGGAGGATATGGAGGCATACAGAATGAAGAAAGTACATCATGATGATCCAATGAAGGATTTTCTGAACTAAGCTTGGAAATAATTAAAACACTTGTATCACTTTGTTACGATTAAGGGCTGAAAGGCTTGCATCTGTTTCATTGCAAGTCCAGCCTTACTGTTCTTTTTCTTACTGCCAGTTGGATTGGGCAGAATGGATCAGCTTTGCATCCTTGATCCTTTGACCTGTAGCGGGAAAGAGGAACTACTGTTGTTTGTTTGTACAGTTTTTTTTATGGATCATTGAATCAGTTTCATATATCCGTTAAATAGAAACATGGGAACTGTTTGTGGTAAGCTATATATGAGAATATGGCTAGATGTAGTCAACGGTGTTTTAGACGACTAATGGTTACATGACTTTCTTAGATTTAACATTTTCCTATGGAGGTGGGTAAATAGGTTGAATCTTGCAATAGACAAGACAAGATTAATTAGTCATCATATTGTAATCTTTTGGCTCAGTGAGGAAAAACTTAGGGGTAGGTTGGATTTTCATCTGTACATCAGAACATGGTTGTGTTACGATCCATTTGCTTACAAATTTTAACGAATTAAGAATCAATCAAGTCACAGGTCACTTTTATTAATTTGAAACATCTTTTTGTTTTTTTGTTTAAGTATGATTTATATATTTAAATATAGTATTTATATGTATTTATAATTTATTTAAATTTTAGTTATATATATTAAACATTTGGCTTGTATATTACATGGACTAGTATCAAAAACTTTTTTGATACAGTAGTAGCACTTATGTTTAAAATTATACATTGTGTTTTGTGATTGGATTTTTGATAATCATATATACGAACTAAGTTTAAGTTTTTATATGTTAGATGAAGAGTAGTTTTAAGATAATATATTTCATTTAAATAGTCTGAATTTTCTAAAAGTAAACTACAAAAAGGAATGAAATTATTTGTAATATTTTATTTAACTGTGTTTAAGTAATCAATTCGAGTATAAAAGTAAAAAAGAAAAATTTGCTAAAAAATAATTTGACAACTTTTCATCATGTATAAAATATTTTTTTTTACAAAAAAAATTATCTGTCTTTTGTAGCAGAAATAATTTAATATTATATATATATATATATATATATATATTCATCAATATTATTAAACAAGAGAAAATAAAATTAAAGATGATTAATTTTTACGAATAAATTATAATAACTTACTAAACACGCATTAGTATGTCTACCCAATTATTATTAGAGTCAATTATTTATTTAATTCTTTTGCTAATCTTAGGGGTTAAAAGATAATTGAATGAGATTTTTTTTATAACATTGAAGGTGTTGTAACCGAGATCGCGACGAGACGGCAAAAAATAAATTAAAAAATAGGAGTCGCCACTAATGTTGTTTTTTACGAAAAAATATTAGAAAAATCATAAAGTAGAAAATGGTTTATGAAAATCAGATTTTTGAGTTCGGGAGTCGATTACGTGTGAGGAAGGGATTAGCACCTCACAACGTTCGTCCTAAGATGATTACCTTTAATTAATTAAATAAATTATTTATAATTTATAAAACATTTATCTCACTAAAATGATCAAATATATTTTATTTAACTGATTTAACTAATGCACTAAAAAAAAGTTAAAATTATTATTGTTATACAAAAAGGAAGATAATATATTTTTTTTTGCTCGATAAGATTTATTTCTTGCTCCTACGTATCTTTATGTGTAATGAATAATTAGAGTCACGTAGTTCTTTGTAAAAAAATATTTGTGTGTTTAATTAAGTTTTAAATTTTTAAAATTTAAGATTCTTGAATTCACCTTAAAATATAAAATTGACTGAGGTGTACACCAGAGTCAATTCAAAGAATATTTAGTTTTGATTATATTATTACTACTATGATATTTTCTTAAATGATTTTTTTTTGGATATTTTATTTTTTGGAAAAGAAAATCTAAAGATATCAAGTTGTCACAACTTGTACCTTAAATTTAGAGGTTAAAAAGATGTCACATCTAATTAATCATTCCTCAAATAAAATCTTTTATATAATAATTTCAAATATTTATGTTGAATATTGTGGTAATATTTTGATATTTAATTATGTTTTTTGAATTAAAAAATAACTTTAAGATAGTAAGTTGTCACGACTTACATTCTTAAGTTTTAGGATTAAAGGAATGTCACATTCAAATACTTTCTTTTTTATAGATAAAATTAATACTAATATTGATAAGAGGATATCACAGTAATTATTATTATTGTTATTGTTGTTGTTGTCTAAATGAATTAAAAGTTATATAAATATCTAACACATTGTATAAAGAAACAACTTAATCAAATAAAACCAGTTAAACTAATTTTGTTAAAATAAGAAATAAATATCACCATCTAAGATTAAGGGAATACCATATACAAATAATCTCCTATTTTATAGATATAATTAATACTAATATTGATAAGAGAATATCACGGTAATTATTATTATTATTAAACATATTAAAGTTACGTGAAATTGAATATATAATGTTACATAAGGATTTAATTTATATATATATATATATATATATATATATATTATACGTATACTTACTTCTTATATATACATATATAATATTATTATAATTACAATTATAAAATATATTATTTTAGTAAAATATCATCTGATTACTTTTTTTTTTAAAAAAAGGTTAATTAATTGTTTGTTGGATGGGCTTAGCCCATATGCTGGCCCAAAATGGAAGGAAAAAATGGGGGATTAGATGGCACTTGGCCATTTCATGGAAACCCTAAAAATAGAAAAGGGTGAGAGGAGTGGGGGAGGCTCTGCTAGGGTTTTTACGCGCAGCCTCCCTCCACGGACGTCGACGGCGCGGTGGACACTACCATGGCATCGTCATGGCTAAGGTGGACGGCCGGCTATGGAGAGGGAATGAGGAGATAGCTAAAAGGGGAAACGAAGAAAGGTAGGAGTGGTGGCCGCCACCGGAAATCGTTTCTGATGGTGGTGCGCGGTTCGTTTCGGTCGGGCATAGTAAAGGTCCACGGAAAAGGCTAAAGGCCGACGATGCCGCCACCGGAAATCGCCTCCGACGGCAGTGCACGGCGACATTCGCGGTGGCCGGAAATCGCCTCCGGCAGCGGTGCATAATGGTGTTCACGGGAAGCACCGTTTTCCTGGTACTTTTCATCAACCCTTTTTATTCTATTTTCATCTATTTTTCTATCTGAATTTTTTTTTACTTGTTAAATGCTTTACTGAGGTTTGAGAATGAGGGTTTCGATTTCATGGTAAAAGGTTCACTAAAAATAAAATTGTCTTACTGATCAGAAATTATTTTGCATCCTATATAATAACAAAATCATACCAAATAAAAATCGGAGAGAGTAATTGATACTTGCTCTACTTTGGCCTCTTCTTTTGCCTTCTGCTTGAGTTGTTTCTGTTTGAAATTTTTTGTTATCCTTGATTCTTCTGTTTCAAAATTTTTTCGTCCCCCTTTTGTTCATGCTCCGTTCTATTATATATAGTCTCACTATTGTTTTTAATTGTTCTTTGGCAGTTGGTCCAAGCTCATGCTTTTGGAAGCATATATGGCAGAAGCATGCTCTTGGGGACATGTCGGTGGCTAGGGCAGCAAGCTTGTTGGAGGAGAAATAACCGTACAGAAAAGTGTAGGATGGCAGAGATTTTGGGTGTAGAGGAAAAGATTATTTTGTTATTTTCTTGTCTTTTTCTAATTTTCTTTTTTTATTTTTTTATTTTTTATTATGCTTATTGTGTGTATTTTTTTAGTTTAAATCTAGTTTGTAAATTTGTTCCTGAATCATTAATTTGAAAATTTTGGGAAATAAATTAGTAGAAAAATTAGTGGGATAAAAATTGGTGTTTACAGTTTGCCCCTCTTTACTTAAATTTTACTAAAGAATATGAATAATAGTAGTTTTCATATAATTGTAGTAAAAGATAAGTAAAGACTTAAACTCCAATTTTGTCTAGGGAAAAAGTTATGTGTATTCACCACTCAGAGAAAAGATAGTTATGAGGATTTAGCATACATTGGAGAGTATAAGGATGGGATCCTAAAATATCAAAAGGATAATGGACTTTGGGATATAAAATATTGGAAGCAAAAAGAACGATGACTCAAATATAAAAATAGTGGACTTAGGGACCCAAAATATTAAAAGCAAAGAGCATGGGAACTCAAAATATGAAAAATAGTGGACTCAAAGATCCAAAATATTGAGAATTAAGAGCACGGAGACTTCAAATGTGAAAATTGTGGACTCAGGGATCCAAAATATTGAGAATTAAGAGCACGGAGACTCAAAGTATAAAAATAGTGGACTCGGAGATCCAAAATATTGAGAATGAAGAGCACGGGGACTTCAAATATGAAAATAGTGGATCTAGGGATCTAAAATATTGAGAATTCAGAGCATGAAGACTCAAAATATGAAAATAATGGACTCGGAGATCCAAAATATCGAGAACTATGAGCATAGGAACTCAAAATATGAAAACAATGGACTCGGGGATCCAAAATATTGAGAGTTAAGAGTCCAGGGCCTGAAACATTAGTAGAGTGAGTGTAAAGGCTCGAAACATTAATAGAGTGAACATAGAGATTCAAAACATTAAAAACGTGAGCTTAGAGGCTCGAAGCATTGACTAAGAGAGTGTGAAAGTTCAAAACATTAAAAGAATGAGCACGAGGGCTCAAAGCATAGAAAAAAGAGAATGAGCGGATTGAGCACAGGGCTCGATGCATAAAATAGTGAGCGCGGGGGCTCGAAACATTAATACGAGTGAGATAGTAGTCAAGTAAGTATAAAAAAATAAAAATAAAAATAAAATAATAAAAAAAATTTAAACTTAAGAGTTACGATAAATACTCGATTGGTTCATGATTAATGAAATGTATGCACAATATGTTATGTGAAATGATCTTAGTGAAAATAAGAATGATAATAAAAATGAGTTTTGGCTTTGCATCATTTTTCCGACCTTTGACCCCTTACGAGCGTGAGTGCTCAAGCCGACCTCTTGTCAAATTATTGCATCGCCAGATAGGCTATCTTGCCTGATTAGAATAGTACAATTCAAAGCCTTCAACATCTATAATCTTCTTCAGTAGAGTTAGCTAAAGATCTTTCATTTTTGTGACTCTTAGAATCAAACATCGTAATTGAAATACTCTAGTTTACTTTTGACTTTATTTGTTTGTTTTTCTTGCATCGCATGTTGCACTTTTAACATATAATAATGAAGTAAACACATAAAAATGACAAAATGTGGGGAATATGGGCTTTTATTGCTTCAAGGAAGAAAGTACAAGTGCATGAGAGTGGAGATAACCAAAACAAGGGGAGAATAACAAATCATATTTTAGGGAAGCAACACTAATTCCCCATATCAACAACTTTGAGACCTCATTATTTGGCCTCTAAAGGTATCAAATGCTTGCTGAGCATTTTGAACATTGCCTTGATCTTCCAATTTGCCCCAGCTTCGTACTTTGGTTGTAATATCTACTTCCTCCTTCTTCACCTTCCTATAGAAAAGTTGCTCTAACATTTGCCTAAGCTGCCCATTCAGGTTTTCAACCCAGTAAGCCTTTCTTTTTCTTTCATTTGTTTTCATTTTCTTTTTAGACCTTAATTTTTGCCTAGGCCGCCCTTTTCGAGTTTTTAGCCTACCAGGTCGCTCTAAGTTTTGTCTAAGCTGCCTTTTCAGGTTTTCAGCCTAGCGAGCTTTTTCTTTTTTTCATTATTTGTTTTCATTTTCTTTTTAGACCTTAATTTTCTTTTTAGACCTTAGTTTTTGCCTAGGCTGCCCTTTTCGAGTTTTCAGCCTACCAGGTTGCTCTAAGTTTTTCCTAAGCTTCCTTTTCAAGTTTTCAGCCTAGCGAGCCTTTTCTTTTTTTCATTATTTGTTTTCATTTTCTTTTTAGACCTTAACTTTTGCCTAGGCCGCTCTTTTCGAGTTTTCAGCCTACCAGGTCGCTCTAAATTTTGCCTAAGCTGCCTTTTCAAGTTTTCAGCCTAGAGAGCCTTTTCTTTTTGTCATTATTTTGTGTTCTCCTTTATACATAGTATTTCTTGATTGCATCATAGTTTATTGGGTTCAACAGATCTTCCCCATCCATATTTATGAGAATCAAAGCCCCTCCTAAGAGCCTTTTTTACTACATAAGGCCCTTCATAATTCAGGGTCCACTTCCCTCTATGATCTTTTTGAGGTGGCAATATCTTTTTTAATACTAAATCTCCTTCTTGAAACTCTCGCGGATGAACCTTTTTGTCAAAAGCCCTCTTGATCCTTTTTGATATAATTGACCATGACATAAGACATTCAATCTTTTCTCTTCAATGAGGTTCAACTGATCATAGCGAGCCTGAACCCATTCCTCTTCCTAAACTTTGGTTTCTGCCAATACTCTTAGAGAGGGTATCTCAACCTCAATGGGAAGCACTACTTCCATACCATAAACCAGAGAATATGGAGTTGCCCAGTAGAGGTGCGAACAAAAGTGCGATATCCAAGTAGGGAAAAAAAGAGCATTTCGTGCTAATCCTTATAGGTGACCACCATCTTTTGAATAATCTTTTTAATATTCTTGTTTGCTGCTTCTGCTGCCCCATTCATCTTAGGGTGATATGGTGAAGAATTGTGATGTTGAATCTTGAAACCTTCACACAACTCTTTCATCATCTTGTTGTTCAGATTGGTCCCATTGTCAGTAATGATACGACTTGGCAACCCGTATCTACAAATTAAATCTCTTTTAATGAATTTGACCACCACATTTCTGGTCACACTGGCATAAGAAGTTGTTTCAACCATTTAGTGAAATAGTCGATATTAACAAGAATGAATCAATGCCTATTGGATGCTTTTGGTTCTATTGGACCAATCACGTCTATTCCCCACATTGAAAAGGGCCATAGAGCAGCCAATACATTCAAAGATGTTGGGGGAACATGAATATTATCTGCATAAATTTGGCACTTGTGACACTTCCTCACATGACTACAACAATCAGCCTCCATGGTCAACCAATAATAGCCAGATCTTAGGATCTTTCTTGCCATTACATGTTCACTTGCATGTGTTTCGAATGAACCTTCATGGATCTCTTCCATGATTTCCATAGCTTTTTTAGCATCAACACATCTAAGCAATACCATGTCATGATTTCTTTTATAAAGTACTTCTCCATTTAAGAAGAAACTCATTGCCAATCTCCTTAAAGTTTTCTCGTCATTTTCTGAAGCTCCGGGAGGGTACTCTCTATCTTTTAGATAGCGCTTGATGTCATAGAACCATGGTTTGCCGTCTGGTTCTTCCTCTATTGCTTGACAATATGCTGGTTGACCTCGATTCTATATTCTTATCAGTGGAACCTCTTTTCCTTTACTAATCTTGAACATCGAAGACAATCCTTTTTCTCATGATTTTTTATCAAGTCTCCTGCTCTCAACTCTTCTGGAATAAAGACTCTACCACTACGGGTCATTCCACCTACCCCCGCGATATTTGTTACGTTGGTTCCTGCAGTGTCAATGCCTTCTTTTTGTTGGGCATTCACATAGTCACTCTCTACCTTCACATCGTAACGCCATGGAACCGCCTTAGTGTCCTTGTAATGAAAATGAGCTGGAATTTTCACAACAAGTGGCTTAAGGGTACTAGGTGTTGATGCGAAAGTGTTTTTGGTGAAGGTGATTACCAGTGGTCTTGGAGTAGTCAAATTGGACTTCTCGTCTGATTGAATCATCAATACATCCTCTTTTGTTCGCACCTGGCTCACCTGAACCAAGTTTGAGTTAATCATGCCTTGCAATATTTGCTTGAACTTGCCACATTCCTCAATAGAATTTGCAGTTGTAGGGTGGAGATCGCACACTCCTGCTTCGCGAGACTATCCCTTAATCATCCCAAATTTGCACAATTCTGCAAAAATGAATCTCATGGGGGTTTGGATCTTCTCTACTTCTGTCACTTGTGGAGTACATTCTTCTTCGATAGCATTAACCGATAAAGTCCCATGACTTGGAAGTGGATTACTTCTTACATTCGGCTCGCTTTCCTTAAAGCTTAATAATCCCGCATCTATCAAGTCTTGAACCTTGTGTTTCAAACCCCAACATTTCTCAGTTGAATGGCCTATCGCTCCAGCATGATATTCACATTTGGCATTTGAATCATAACGTCTTGGATATGGAGGTTGGACAGGCTTTATAGGAAAAGGCACAATTAGAGCATTTTGAACCACATGTGGTAGCAATTTAGTGTAGGTCATAGGGATCGAAACTAGAGTCCCTGGTTGATTGTTACCCCTTCTTTGAGCATTATTCACCATGGGAGGTGAAATTGCTTATTGATTTGCTTGGGGTACAAAAAATTGTGGTGGCACTGTAGGTGGTCGATAAGGCATTCTAGATGGATAAGGTTGTGGGTATGGTTGTAAAGAAACTACTACTATTTGTGGGTTATACATATATCGGGGTATATAATTAGGTACGAAAGGAATAGGATTATAGTTGGGTCTGACTGATGCTGTCATCACTACGTTCGTTTCACCTCCTTTCCTCTTATTTGTGGTTTCTAAGGATTTCTTGATGGTTGTGGATCCTGTTGTCATGTGGGCAATCTGATGGCTTCCTCCTTCCATGGTTGTTGTAGAGTATGAAAGGGAAGACCTTGCCCTTGATCTTAGGCTCACCAAAGGTAGAGAAAGGGTGACTTAGGATGGGAAAAAGGATGATAGGCGAGTAAGGAGAGAAGGGTGGCGGAAGTGATTATGGGATGGTGTTTGGTGCTCACAAGGTTGGCTCACTCCAAAAGTG